AAAAAAAAAAAAAAAAGTAAACATAGGTCACTGCCCCAGACAAAAGCTGGGATGTAGTCTTACATGTTGAAATCGCTCAGTGGTGTTTCAATTTTAAATGCTTATTGCTATAGAAAAATGCCGTTTCAGTGTAACTTTCTGCACATGGTAGGCATGCAGTAAATAAGTACCAAATAAAAGAATTACACCTGTTTTTTAATAATATAATAGCTGAAGTATTAAAATGTCTCAAATTAGGAAACCTGTTTTAATGGGGAAAAGGGAATTGCAGCCTAGACTGTTCCAGATAATTCAGCATCATTAAATGTCTTACACCTGAAGATGGAGAGGAAGACTACTCTGCTCTGTTTTTCATTGGCTAGACCAGCAAAGGAGGAGCTTGCTGTTTTCCAGAATTGCGTGTTGGTGTATTTGAAGAAATTGTGCCTATGGGGATCAGTCCCAATAAGATCTCCTACAAGAAGCCTGGTATGTGTGCTTTTAGAAGGACAAAACAGTATCGAAACAATGTTGGAATTCATTCCTGAGCAGAATGAGGCTCCTGTGGTGCTACCAAGCTTTATCATGAGTGGTGGCTGTGGTGTGGTTACTCACTGCCAGAGTCACCAAAAGTCCCTCACAACCTACTGAGATGTCTGAACCCCGAAAGATACAGGAATATTCCTATCCTGGAGAGTTGAGAAGGCAAAGGGCCCCAACAGACAGGTTCTCTCTTTTTAGTTTCCGTGTCTTATTTCATCTCCTTTCTCCCCTCGCCCTTCATCTTGTATATCATTCCTGCTGTGGACCCCTTCCCCTGTCTCTTTTAATCATGCACACAAACTTAGATACATTCTTCCTACCCTTTTGTATTTTAAAAAAAACCATTATTTTAACATTTCCCCACAACTTTATGCTCTCACCTGCCTTGAACTTGGGCTCGACCTGGGCTAGAACAGTTTATAAAGAAAGCCTGTAGTCAAGCATATAAATGTCTAGGCTCCTCATGTGTAGTGACAATAGAAGACTGGCCATAAAATGGACCCGCAAACCCACAGGGCAGTTAGATCCCGACAGTCTGGTTTTTGTCATGGGGTTAGACCAAGTCTGAGGATGTAAACCTCTTTGACTAGTTATTTCTAAACTGCCAGGTCTCTATAGTGCTCATCTTAGGAGGAGGGAGAGTGAGGACACCTGAAATTACTAAATTATTTCATCATGATCACCAGATAGTGTTATTTGGAAACATAAACTGTAATTATAAAGAGAAAATGTTTGGGTAGAAAGAAACAAAGCAACATGCTAGTCCTTAGCCTGGGCCAGCTGTGACTGGGCTTTGTTTCTTTGTTCTTGCTTTGTTTTAACTAATTTTTGGTTTGGTTTTAGGAATCCACTTATCCCCAGATGAATTTCATAAAGAAGTAGAAAAGTTTTTGTCTCAGGGAAATCAAGAACAAAGTGATACTATCCTACTGGACTGCAGAAACTTCTATGAAAGCAAAATAGTAAGAACCAGAATTGAGTCCCCACAGTATGGCATGTTCCTAAAGGGGACACTGTGTGCCCACCTGTGGTCATGTCACCGCTAGCAGCTTCAGAGAAAACCCAAGCCTTTGAACTCAGGATCTGGTGAGAAAGTCTAAGAAAATAAGAATTTAAGACATCTTGGCATGGGCTCTTGTCCCTGTGTGCCTACCCTACTCTCATAAAGTTTGCTTTGGGCAGCCTCTCCAGTTCTCCTGGAGACTCTGGGAAGGTGACCTGCAGCCTACCATTCTTGCCTCTGAGTTCCAGATCTTGAAGTTGAAAGGTCAGAGTGTGGGATGAGAACAGCAGCTAGCTGGTGCTTCCTTGCTAAGGGAAGGTGGGGGGTGTTTGACACAGAGAAAAGCACACCAGGTAGACTTTTGGTTCATTTTCCTTCTGCTCCCACACTGTAGGGCCGCTTCCAGGGCTGCTTGGCCCCAGACATCAGGAAATTCAGTTACTTCCCTAGCTACGTGGACAAGAATCTAGAACTTTTCAGAGAGAAGAGGGTACTGATGTATTGCACTGGGGGCATCCGTTGTGAGCGGGGTTCAGCTTATCTCAAAGCCAAGGTGAGTCATCCTCCTCGGGCACCACAGGCCTGGTGGTGAAGAAGGCGCCACCCCAGCATGCGTTGCCCCCCCTTCATTCCCTCTCCCACCCCAGCCAGCCGGGGGGTTATTTTTCACCTTGTATGGTTTCAGCTTAGAGTTTTGTAAGTACAAAATCTGAAGTTCTTAAATCTTAAGATGTAAAAAACACTTAACAGTCTTAGAGGCTCATCAGGTACAAATGGGAAAGATTAGTTAACATCTCCCTTTGCGTAATACTTTTGCTTGATCCCGAGAAGAGCAAATTCAGTAACATTACATGTCCCAACAGGTGTCTTCCTATATTTAGGGGGCGGCAAAAATAGTTGAGCTTCTCAGGATCTAGAGAGTGAAGGCCCTGACTGCTTTCGTCACCCATCCCCCTCCCACCCCCCTATAGGCAAGATCTGGCCAGTTGGTTCCTTGAGCCCTTGGTCAGCAGTTTCTCAGTGTCCTGCAGTGGGAGCCAGGAGCCACACTTGGGCATTCCTCGCCCTGCGCCCCTCCTCCATGGAGCTTCTTCCTGGCCTCTGCTTGTCTCCTCAGATCTGTTGTTTTTCCACACATAGGGAGTGTGCACGGAAGTGTTCCAGCTCAAGGGTGGCATCCACAAGTACCTGGAAGAGTTTCCTGACGGTTTTTACAAAGGGAAGTTGTTTGTTTTTGATGAGCGTTATGCCTTGTCCTACAACAGTGACATAGTGTCAGGTAGGTCAGCACAGGCCCAGAACCTAAACTCCATCAGGTACACTGTATGAACCATTCTGGAAGGCAAGCCGGCACTGATCCTCTGAAGAGTAAAATGGAGGAGTGCATAGCACCACCATTGCCCAGCAGTGGGAAATTCAGTGGTGCAGCAGAGTTAGGAGGCCTGTATTGGGATCCTGGCATCACCACTTACTCGCTAAGGAAGTCCTTAACATGGGGATAGTGTCCCTTGCTCTCTCTACCTGCTCGGTGTTGAACTAATAGGCTAAGTCAGGGGTCTTCATCTGGGGTTAATATGTAGAATTCAGGGATTCTGTGAATTTGGATGGGAAAATAATTATAATTTACCTTTATTTTCATAACTCTTTGCTAAATGTAACACTTCATCAATTGTGAATGTAAGCAACACATCAGTAGTATTAGATGTACCTGTAACCTTGTCAACAGAAATCACGATATTTTCAGATTACAAAATAGTATTTATGTTCATCATTGCTTCAAAATGGAAATAGCCCACCACTAAATCTTATTACTTAGTGTGCTAATACCTTACGATATTCCAGATTTTTAAAAATATTTTAATATCTTGTATTTCTTTATAATTGGTTTCCTTTGTAATCCTACGTAGTTTATACATTTAAAAAATATTTTTCTAGGAGTTCATAGTTTTCATTAGACTGCTAAGTAAATCCATGGCACAAAATAAAAGAACCCTTAGTTTAAGTGGTCTGTGGGCACATGTAGTATGCACTTTTGAGTGGTGGGTGGGGCATTCCTAGGTGGGAGCTGAACCTAGGGCCAAGGCCAGAGGCAGGGGTGGCCACAGGAAGTGTGTGGTTTGACTGTAGTTCTGAGTCCACACTAACATGTACCAAATGAGGGCCGTCACTGAAGAAGGATGGAAATGATCCTTTAGAAAAAAGCTCTTTCCTGTGGATACCAGTCTTGAGTAGGAAAGGTCACGGGCCAACAACCCTAGTGGTTACTGCAGTTTTCTAGAATTGGGTCAGACTGAGATTGCATTACTACTCAGGTAATAAATAGGATGTGAGTTGGATTTTCCTCTCCCCTTCTTGATCTTTTAATTCGTTTGGATGGTCTTCTGTGTCTTACTGAAAGCTATTTCACATCTGCTTTGGAGCTAGTTGGAGTATAATGGGGAGAAGGCCCAGAGGCAGCTTAGATAAGCTGGGTAAAGAGATTTGAAAAAGAATGTTACCAGTGGTAACAGAAGTCAGCAGGGAAAAACCCGCTAAGAAAGTAGGTAAATATGAGTTTTAGGAATAAAGTAGGTAAATATGAGTTTTAGGAATCCCGGTGGCAAGTGTTTGCTAGCAACAAACAGCAGGAGAACCTCAGGCCTGCCCGGGGGAGAGGGTTGTGGCTGCAGAAGTTGAATGTAGATGTGGGGTCATCTGCATTCAGGTGTGTTGTCTCCCAGTGAAAAGGGGGTGATCTAAAGGAAAAAGATCGCTGACCAAAGGGGTGTTTGGCTATCTTTGGAACAGAATGAAAGAGAAGCATTACTACTTGATTTCTAAGTGGGGAAAGAAAATATGGACCAGTGAATGCTGGAATTAGGGAGACAATTTCCAGGAGCAACCACTCCCTGCAAAAGGGGGGATGAGGAGCATTTTTTTGGTACTATTTACAAATCTTCCCCAGGCGCAACAGGATCTATTCGATTCTAATCAGCTGAGGGTTATATTTAGGAACTGGAGAAGTGCCTATCTCTCTCTCTCTCTCTCTCTCTCTCTCTCTCTGTGTGTGTGTGTGTTTATAACAAAGATTATTCTTGCTTCCCCAGAATGTTCATACTGTGGGGCCCCATGGGACCAGTATAAACTCTGCTCCACTCCCCAGTGCCGCCAGCTTGTCTTGGCCTGCCCCTCCTGCCAAGGACAGGGATTCACAGCCTGTTGTGTCACATGTCAAGACAAAGGGAGCAGGCCCACTTCAAGCCCTACCCAGAACAGCTTTAAAGAAGAATGTGAGTGCACAGCCCGACGGCCACGCATACCCAGTGAACTTTCACAGCGGCAGCAGGCACAGCCCCTCGTGAGTCCAGAGCCAAGGCCCAATGTTGAGGACGGGCCCTGCTTGTGTGAGCAGCACCTTCAGCATTTCCTTAAGCCTTCACAAAGCTAGGTGAGGTGACCATGTATTGGAGAATATCAAGGCTGCAGCAACAGAGAAATGGGGAACTTCGTTGCTGGCCAATTCCAGCGTGGCACACTGGTCGCCATATTGGCCACCTATACTTCATAAGAGGAGGGAAGAGGGAGTTGGTGCTGACCACTTACCTAAGACATTCTGACACAAGATGCTAGAGCACAGAAAAAGGTGAGCCGTGTGGGATCCCAAAGCAGCTAAGGGATAGAGCCTTGAGCTTGGGAACCAGGTCATGCCCTTTCTGTGCCATGCATCAGGGCTGGTAGTAGTCATTTTTCTTGTCACCTAACCTGTCTGTACCAGTGATAAACATGAAAGTTGTGGCCCTGGAAGTGGACTCCTTAGAACCAGTCCTCTTGGGCCACCTGCCACCCACCCATATTGTCACCTCGTCTCTGTTAGCCGGGGCACACTAGACCAGGATCTGAAGACTATGGCATTTGGCCCATTGCTTGCTTTTGTAAATAAAGTTTCATTGGAATAGCTACACCCACTCGTTTACGTATGATTTATGGCAGAATTAAGTATTTACAACAGAAGAATTATGGCCCATAAGACCTGTAATATTTACTATCTGGTCCTTTACAGAAAAAAATTGCTACCTCATGGTCTAAACCAGGGCCATTTGGATATTTATAACATTTGTGGCCATACAAAATTATCAACTTAAAAATTAGCTATGAAAAAAGCTCCTACATTTATTGAATTTTAAACCCTGTCTTTGGTTGCCTTGGCAGGGCCAGACCAAATGATTTCACCGTCCATGTATGGCCCACAGGTTAGACACTCCCCACCCCTGGTCTAGGCCAACAGCTCATCTGATGGAACAGATGGTCTTAAAATTGTGGCCCACCTTCATTTTTTATTGATTTGGTTTCTAACAGAGCTTTTCCCCTAATAGTCTCTGCTTTCCCCAGCACCCACCACACTTAGCTTTTAAGTATTTTGAGATTCAGGTCAGCTCAGTGACGCTGACATTTGGGCGGTTTTTACATGAGTGCCTTGTGACACAAGACACCTTCTGAGTGTGGTCATTTAGCATTGTTGTGGTTTCCGGGCCTTGTTGGGTGTGTGTCCCTGTCACACAGGTCCCAAGAAACACGCAGCCATTCATAGACCAACAGATTTAATGTTATATTGCAGTTTCCAGTGATGCAGAAAACAGCTGCAGTTGTGTTTCAAGGAGAAGCCGGTGGGGATGGCTGTCCCTGCAGTGTGGTGCCACTCCTGGGCCCATCTGCAGCCTCCGTAGACACTCTTCCACAGTGGTGAGGCCCTGGCTCCACCTCTGGTTACCCTGCACTGTCCACATCATTACAGTTCAGTGTGCAAGACTTTTCTTCTTTCATTGAAAGCCTTTCTGCTCAGTGCTCTGCAGCAGTCTGTGCTCGTCAGTTCTTTGGCCTGTCCTTTGTCATAAGATTTGTCCAATCACTCATAAAAGTAACTCCCCAAGCAACAGAAACACTAGCTTGACTGGCACTGTGGTACATTAAAAGGCACAAGGGCATGTGGCTTCACATTTTTGCTGGATTCCCAAGAGGTGCACATGATGTTAAAAAGGGATGCGGCAGAGGTACCAAAATTACTTTTTCAGAATAATCATCTTGTGATGGTTTAGCCAGGGTTTCCTAATTCTTTACTATCTAGGTCTTCACCATTTTTAATCTCTTAAAAGTTAAGAGATTAGCAGTGACTTGTCTAATAATAGTGCTGCCTCAGGTAGTTGAAGTCTGTCAGCATGGCCACAGTGGACTAGAAGTTTATCTCTCTAATGTTTGACCTCACATAAGCCATTAGCCCACTGTGCAATATAGAAAGGTGTTTTCAAGCATTTGGCCATAGGTTTTCACATCCATCATAAGGTTTGCATTGGAGAAGGAAAAAATTCTTTCTGACTCTGGTATTACATCGTAAATAAATCCCAGATGTCATAAAGAACACTCAAGGAGCTGTTTGTTGCCTGGGATTGGTAAGAAAAGGATGGTTTTTGAAACTTGGAATTTCCCCTTTGGCTTTTCTGTCATTTCCTTATATCCAGCAAAGGAAATCTTGTGCTCTTTGACGCCTGGCAGAGCTCTGTGACCTCAGTCTTTTTCTTTCTTGAGGGGAAAAATTGTGTTCTTGATCCGGTAATCAGTTTGGCAACTTTAATCTTGTGGTTCTTAAAATTTAAAGGAGGGTTAATAAAGAATCTGTTCTGCTTGCTAAACAGCTAAGATGAAATTTGTAATAAAGTATTGGATAATGCTTCTACACTGTGCGGAAGAGTATGCTTTTGTTCGTGCGTTACGCATCATAAATACACCTGAAACACCACATAGCAAGGCCACCAGAACTGGCTCTTGGGGTTAAGTTACTGCTGCTGTAACATCATCTTGAGGAACATCTGCCGGTTCAGAGGCTTCTTAGTTTTTAAATAATAACCAGACTGAACTTCTGTGACTAAAGAAAAACTTCACATTAATCATAATTTATAAAACTTCAGCTATAACCACTAGTCAACCTAAAACCTTAGTGCATAAAGAACTGAACCACGAAAGGGTTTTGTGCCGGCATCCTGCCCCCTGGTCTCCACTGCAGAGCACAGATCATCAGTAGCACATGTCCAGTTCAGAGGCGTGGCTGTCACCGCCTCGCGCTAGACTCCACTCCGGCACTTGGGAATGATGGGCCCAGTCAAGTCCGCGAGTCTCCTCTTCCTCACTGGAAAGGAATGGAGATGAGATGTGAGCCCCTCGTCCCTGTGCCCCAGGAGCCCCCTGTGGCTCAGAGCAAGCGCTGCAAAGCTGCTCACTAACGTGGGTCGGCAGAGTCTAAAGCCAGTTGTTTCTAAAGGACAGTTATGTGTGGGTTGTGTAACAGACCTCCAGTTGTCAGCGTTCACTGACGAGGGTCTGTAGGGTAGATTGATTCATAAATTATTTCTATATCACTGACCTCATAGCATAAAACCCCTGTATCCAGCTCCACTGTTTTTCCTTTGTGTACAGAGGCCCTGCAGCTAAAGATCCTCTCTCCGTTCAGATAAGAGTTAAGATCAATTGATCTTAATGAGACTAGGGTCTTACCCTGCTGGAAACTTCCTCAGCTTTCTCAGAGCTCCTGGCCTGCTCCTGCCTCTAAACAGTTTCTGCCCTGAGAATCCCCTGGATTGTCTGTCCCCTTATGGTTAACCCTGACATTTCCCAGGGACAAGACATTACAAGCTCAAACATCGATCACAGAACAGAGTAGTTAAATGCCAGGAAGAAGAAAGAAGAAAGCACTAGCCAGGAGCTTGCAGGCTGGAGGCATTAGCTTGCTTACAAGATGACGGGACAGGGAAGGGGGCTCCCTTTGTTGTAACAAGGGAATATTTTCAAAATGAATTAAGTGTCCGCAGATGAAGACCAAGCAGCAAGCTAGATCAGCCACAAGAGAAAGAAGCCTGTGGAGCTGGAAGGTGGCAGCCAGGGCTGCTGGTGTGGTAGAGACAGGAAGCAGAGGGGAAAAGTTTGTCTAGACTTAGACGTCTTCTAGTTCCCGAGCTGAGCCGAGTAGAACTGTGGCCACCAGATTGTTGCATACATGCTGCAACAAGAACCGAATCAGCTTGCGCAAACACTGAGTATATAAAGTAGAACCACCCAGGAAGGTGCAATACTCAGGTTGTGGCTGGGAGCTGGCAGGGAGGGGTGTGGGGCACACAGGGCACCCACTATCCGAGCCAGAGTTCAGCTGGTGCCTGAGCTCCTACGCAGCCCTTTACCCCCTTTAGAATAATAATAAATGCAAATCAGCGGGCAATCTCCTGGTGAGAAAACACTGTGGCCAGATTCCTGGAACTATCAGACTGTCCAACAGCTTGGGGGTACATGTGGAGAAACGAAACCCAAAGAGCAGAAGAGGTTCACCAAAGGTGAACCAGACCTTTAGGCATGTCCACGCTACCTGTACGAGCATGCCCAGCAGGGCGGCCCTCCTTACACCTTTTACACTCAACACCTCAGTGCAGCCCTCCAGCAATTCTGGAATGTCCATGCTGTTCCCATCCCCATGTTATGAATGGGGAAAGAAGGGCAGAGAGAGGGTACGCTTTTTGCTCAAAGCAATGCAGTTGGCACCAGAGAGAACCAAGGCTTGTGCCTCAGTGCAGCGCCTCCCTCAGTACAATTGGGGCCTGCTATGTGGGTTTTACATACCCACAGCTCATCTGGTTCTCAAGGAGGATTAGCTCCTTTCCCCTGGAGAAGAAAAGAGCCAGGTTCTTGGAGGCAGAGTCAGGACTGGAACCTGGGTCCCCAGCCTGAGTCTCAGGGTACAGAAAGGGATCCCATGTTTCTTTCCCCCCCTGCATGCCCTCACTGCGTACACTGGGCTGGATCTGTCCCAGTTTCCCTGCACTGATGTCACAGGGACTAGATGAGCAAAGGAGGAGGCAGCCATTTACTCAGGTATTCTTTCCTTCCATTTTTAAAAAGAAAACGGAGTTTTTAATATATTTTTATTGATTTCAGAGAAAGGAAGGGAAAAGGAGAGAGAGAGAAACATCAATGATCAGAGTCATTGATGGATGTCTCCTGCATGCCCCCTACTGGGGTTTGAGCCTGCAACCCCGGGCATGTGCCCTGAGGGGAATCGAACCATGATCTGGTTTGTGGGTCNGGGAGAGGGAGAGAAACATTAATGATCAGAGTCATTGATCGATGTCTCCTGCATGCCCCCTACTGGGGTTTGAGCCTGCAACCCCGGGCATGTGCCCTGAGGGGAATCGAACCATGATCTGGTTTGTGGGTCAATGCTCAACCACTGAGCCACGCCAGCTGGGCTTTTCCCCTGTTTTAATGATGGAGATTTTCCCTCCTCAAGAGAGGGAAATAACATGCCCCAAGTCATGGAGAATAAGTGACAACACTGAGAGTGGAAGCTGGGTCTTCCAATATCTCCCCTTCAATTCAATCTGCTTCTTCCATTAAAGCAAACTCCTCCGTATTGCTTATCCTTGCAACAGCCAGGGACACATTTATTGTCAGAGCCCAAAGGAATCTTGAGTCATCCAGACCAACCTCCATGGTGGATTGAGCTCCCTTTACAGGCTGGACACCTCCTTCATATCTTTGGGAAGCATTTTACTTTTATTTGTAGAAGCAACAGCATTTACTGATGCTATTACCAAGCACAAGAATCAGAACTAAATATATTGCTTAACTGGGGACCAAGATATACCAACAATAAGTTTCATAATATTACAGGTACCCTGGCAGGTCTCTATTAGGAATGAGGCATAATTTATGAAGTGGTCAGATCTTCTGAGGATGGGCAGGTAACATTCTGCTGAATCTTATAGGATGAAGGGGCAGATGGTGGGAAGGGAGCGGGAGCATTAGGAGTAATGGCCCTCTACAGGGATGCTTTTGCCTGGGTCACTCGAAGGCACTCTAGCTACCTGGACTGGTTGGTACTAATATGGCAAGAGGATGGCTCATTAGGGGTGTCCAGAGGTGAGTCTGGCAGCGCCTGACCCAGAGAGGAGGTGGAGAGCACAGGCTCGGGCTGCACAGCCAGTTAAAAGCCCACTTCTGCCCGCTGACTACAGGTAACCTCACCTAGGTCTCCAGGCCTCATTTCCTTAGCACAGAGTGGGGATACAAGAGCGCCTGCGAGGCTGGTTGCTGGCAGCCTGCAGGAGTGAGTAAGGTGGGAAGTGTTCACAGCAGTGCCTGGCATGCCGCGGGCATCATGAGTATCAGTTACGATTGTTAAGGGACTTGTGAGTCATGTCAAGGAGTTTAGCTGTGAGCACTGGGAGCCCAGAAGGGTTCTAAGCAGAACAACAGGACGAGCTTCGGGATGTTTGCTATGCCACGTGCCAGGCCTGGAGGAGCTGAGGGCTGGAGGAAGCTGCAGGAGGCCAGGTGAATGCAACCAGGGCTTGATATGAGCCAGCGCGAGGGGGTGGCAAAGGGGTGACGCCTCGCTGTGCAGAGAGAGGCCCAGGTTTCTGGTTGGAATGGCTGTGAGGAAAGTAATGCCCTTTCCCGAGATGGTTTCTGGGGGAGATGATGAAATTGATTTGGGGTGAGCTGTGCCTGGGGTGCCTGTTAGAAAGGTCTTCCCTGAGAACACAGAAAAAGAGTGACTTTCCCAGGAAGGGATGTTTTCTGCTTTTAAACATGTTAATCTCCCCTCCCCCCCCCCGTCCTTACTTGAAGGCTGCAATTCAGATTTCATTAAGTGGAGAGAACTTCAGCGGTAGATTTATAAGACCTGAGAGCCATGCTTAGCCTAGGTCTGAGCTATAAATAGTGTGGAGATAGGAGTCATCTGAGATCACCATGGGGAAATGTAGGTGGGGATCCAGGGCTCCTCCCAGCTACCACCATGCCCGGCCCCTGTCTCTCCCACAGAGCACTCTGGTAAAAGCTCAGTGCACAGGGCGGGAAGGATCAGGCACACCAGTCAGGATGGGTCCCAGGCAGGCCTTGGGGACTGAATGTCCTCCCAGGAGGAGCCCACCTGCCTCACACGCAGGCAAGGCCCAGGCACCACAGAGGCCCGGCCATGGGCCAGGAGCCAGCACAGAGGCAGGTCAGAGTGAGAAGGAAACGGGAGAGGCTCAGACACTGCTAACGACTAGGGTGGCTGGGCGGGCCCCACAGGAGGATTTTAGGATAAAAATATTCAGCCGGAAAACACAGAAGCCTGTCTGCTTCGCTGGAGCATCAAGAGCGAGATAAGACAACTGTGTTGGAAAAAAGGGATTCTGTCTTACAGAGGGAAGCTGAGGCACTGTCAGAATCAGAAGCATTTCTTTTATAAAAATTAGCAGATGGCCACAAATTTGCTTTTACAGCTGGAAATCCCACATCACCAACTAGCGCTCTGCATGTAGTGTGTAATCAATGAGCCGATTCTGCTCTGAATTCTCCTGTGGGAAACCCCGAGGGGACAGCTGTTCACTCCTGCCCAGGAAACTGCCACAGTGCCACCTCCCACCTGCTTTCATCACCAGACTCCTCAGGTTGGTATTAAGGGCCTTTGGCTCACAGCCTCCCCACATCTACTGAGCCCCATTCCTTGCGAACACCTCGTATACCTGTGAATCATCCTGCCTTTGCCCACGCCGTCCCCTCTGCTTCAAATGCCCTTCCTCCCTCCTCTGTGAGTTCCTGTTTTTCGTTCTAGGTCTCACTCCCCATAATGGCTCCTCAGTCTGTTTAGATCTTTCTGTCTCTCCTGTCCTGTGCACCGGGTCCTACCACCTTGCCTTTGCCTGTGCTAGTACTCCCATCAAGAATGCCTCCTGACCTCCCCACAACCTCCCTCTTCCTTTCAAGGCTGGCTGAAGGCCCACCCCAACCAGGATGCTTTGTTTAACTGGCTTTATTTAGAAACAGTGTTCAGGCGTTCTTGAATTTTTAGGCGCACCTTTGAGTCTTTTCTCCCCTAAAAGGTATAAGGGCTCTTAAGTCAGGGAACTAGCCTTTCTGTTACCCCTTACATCACCGAGCATAACCCTGGGCACACAAAAGATGCTCCAAAAGGGTTTGCTGTCACTAACTATTGGTGTGACTTGACTGGGCCACTGCCTAGAAGGGCAGCCCATCCCAGGCTTCACTTTCTCCATAAGGGAAATGGAGGGATGGGCCTGAAGTCCTTCCAGCTCTGGCACTCTCGGGTCCTGCCATAACCCCAGGAAGATCCCTGGTGATAGGAGTCGGGCCTGGATTTTGGAATCACAGACTCTCAGGACTGGGAGAGTCCTCCAGGGCATTTTCTTAAACCTCCAGCTGATTTTGGTGTCTCCTCCCCCTCCCCCACAGCACCCTCCATCTCTAGTCATCTGGAACCTTCTTCTGTCCACGGAAAAAAGACCTCGCCTCAGGTTCATCACCATGTGCTCTAGCATTAGGCGCTTTGCATTTTACTGAGTGTTAGAAACAAAGCAAACAACAAAAGCCACGTGTAAAGCAGGCTTGAATTTGATCAAAAGCTCACTGAAGACATTGTCCTTTTGAAAACATAATTCAATCCCAGAAAGCAGCTTTCTTTATTTCTTTTTAAAGCTCATTATGCTTCCTTCTCATCTATAATAAGAATGCGTGACTTAGTGTGTCTTCCTCCTGCCTTGGCTCTAGCGAACTCGTGGCTGAACACAGTGATCAATTACGGTAACGCGTCAGACCTACTGATCTTCTTCCCCTTCTCTAATTTTCCTACAGCCTTCTCAGACACGCTCCTTTTTGGAGACTCTATCGAGTCCTTTCAGCAGCCGGCAGGAGCACACATGGTAAATAACTACACATAGAGCTTGAGAACGACTGACATCTGGAAAAGCTGATGATTGATCTCACTTTTCACTCAACCGATTTACTGGGTGTGTGCTCACAAGGAAGACTGTGTCACTTTCTTTTTTCATTTTCTCTTTAGAAAAGACAAACTATGCCTTTAACTGAGATTCAATTACTGTAACCTGTTCACTATGAAGTCAACATTTTCAACTTTTATCTTAAAAGCGAAGAGAAGTCTCCTAGGCTTGGGGCTTGGGTATTAGAGCTGGTTGGGGGCTTTGGGATCCGGGGCCAGAGCCAGACTGTGACCTGGACAGAATTCTTGAGTTCAGAGAAGGGTGTTGGGGAGAGGAGGGTGTTGGGGGGAGGAGGGTGTTGGGGAGAGGAGGGTGTTGGGGAGAGGAGACTCACAGTGAGCCTGTGTTCTTCCACATGTCATTTCACTCAGCTAGTGAGCTGAGGGTGCCCTCTGGGCCCAGCCCTGGGCTGAGCTGAGCTGAGCTTTGCTGCTGGGAGGAGAGGGCCTGGCCTGGCTCCCTGAAACAGACTGCTCACAGCCAAGGGAGGAGACAAGGCACAAACACAGAAAACAAATGCAACCAACGTGAAAGTTGGGAGTCAGGCTCACCAAGAGGACTCCAAGAAGGCATCAGTGAAAATGTCCCTGCCATTCCCCCCAGGACAGGTGGAAAGACGACAGGTGGGTGGGTGGGGGCACATTTCCACTCACCCAGATCGTTGTTGCTCATCATGGCGTTGGACGCCCGCAGCCGGGGCCCCTGCTGGGTGAAGTGGTAGCCGAATTTCAGAAGCGTTGTGTTTTTTTCCAACATGCTCACGATCTCCATCTCTACCTTGTTGCCCAGGGGCTGGCTCTTTGGTCAGGAAAGAACAATAGTCACCACTCATTCCATTTGCCTAGGGCCTAACCCTTCTGTACCCGGCAGAAACCCTGAGTGGCGGGGAAACGGAAGCCTGGAGGCGGTGAAAGGCCACACGGCCAGGAGGAAATGAGCTGGGATTCGAACCCACAGCTGCTGGACACCAAGGACAGATCCTTCCACTGGCCCACAGCAGCCACCCAGAAGGTCTGAGCAGGAAGGACCTTGTAGTCATCTAGTCCAAGGAAATTTTAAAATCCTGCTGCCCAGCTATTCCCCATCCTAATTAATTCAGAATTACTGGGAGTGAGGCTCAGGTGTCTGGTTTTTCAAACTCCCGGGTGATTCCAATGTACAGCCAGGTTTCATAATCAGTCATTTACACTCATCTTCAATTTACAAATGAAGAAACTGAGGCCGAGAGAGGAAAAAGGACTTGCCCCAAGTCACACAGGGAGCAGGAATGCTAAAGTCAGCTTCCTACGCCTGTTACGCCCCTACCCGCAAACCCATAGTGATCATCTGGCAAAGACGAAAAGGGAAAGCCTTTTAAGATTTACTCTTAGAAAATGTTGAATATGCAATATAGTGTTATTACCTATAATAATATAGCCATGCTGTGCATTACATTCCCTACAACTTATTTATTTTATAGCTAGAAGTTTTCACTTTTTGATCCCCTTCGCCCATTTCACTCACCCCAACCCCACCCCTGGCAACTACCAATCTGTCCTCTGGATCTATGAGCTTGGATGTTTTTGTTTGTTTATTTGTCTGTTTTGTTTTTAGATTCCGCATATAAGTGAGATCATATGGTATTTTTTTCTGACTTCTTTCACTGAGCATAAGGCTCTCAAGGTCCACCCATGTTGTTGCAAATGGCAAGATTTCCTTCTTTTTTATAGTTGAATAATATTCCATTGTGTATATATAGACATAAATACACTCATCTTTTTTTACCCATCCGTCCACTGATGGATACTTAGGTTGCTTCCATGTGTTGGTATTGTTGATAATGCTGCGTGAACACGAGAGTGCACACTACATTTTTTCGAAGCAGTGTTTTTGTTTTCTCAGAAGTGGGGTTATTGGGTCATATGGTAGTTTTATATTTTTTCAAGGAAGCTGCAAACTGTTTCCCATAGTGGCTGCATCAACTTACATTCATACCAACAGTACACAAGGATTCCATGTTCTCCGCATCCTCGCCAAAGCATGTTATTTCTTATCTTTTTTATAGTAGACACTCTACCAGGTGTGAGGTGATATCTCTCTGTGGCCTTGATTTGTATTTCCCAGATGATTGGTAATTTTGAGCATCTTTTCATGTACCTGTTAGCCATCTGTATGTCTCTTCTGGAAAAATGTCTATTCAGATATTCTGCCCATTTTTTAAACTAGGTTATTTTTTTAAACTTTAAATTTAAATAATTAAAATTAAATAACATTTAAAATTCAGTTCCTCATTTGCACGAGCCACATATCAAGTATGCAACAGCCACTGGCTACCATGTTGGCTGGTGCAGATACAGAACATTTCCATCATCACAGAAAGTTCTTGTGGACGTGCTACCCTAGACTGTGAGCCCTTGGATAGCACATTGTACCCAGTATCTCTAGGTCAAAGTCAAGGAATTGGATGGAGGACAAAGGAACAGGGTTGGTGCACAGGAGGGTTGATTGAGAAGATACATCAGCCCAGCGTCCAAAGAGACAAGCATGGAACTGCAGTTGAAATCTTGATGGAGAACTCCTCCCAGGTTATTCTGAGTTCACCAGAGCTCACCTGGGTTCAGATGGGGCTGAGGACACTGACTAGAGCAGGCAGAGGGACATTGGTGAAATTCCACCAGCCTCTGGCAAGGCTCCTGAAAGTGCTGAGAACTCCAGCCTGTCCTCGGAGGGCTCAGACCAGCCTTCCACTCTGGGTGGCTTGGCCTGGTAGACGAAACAGAGACCATCTGAGGTCCCAAGAAGGAACTGGCAGGTCCCCCACCCACCCCACGTAGCGGTAAGCTTGGCCTCTCCTTGAGAGCGCTGTGAGAACTCAGGATGGGAGTCTGAGAAGGCACAGGTCCTTCCTGAGTGGAGGGGCGGCCAGGGCCGCTTCTGCAAAGCTGATACGTCCTGTCGCTCAGTCCAGAGGACAGAGCACCCCAGTGCAAACTGCCCCCATCCGGCCTCCCTACATCCTAAGGAGATGGACTGGGCGGCCAGGAACTAGCACCTCCGGCTTAGAGACGAGTAAACTGAGCCCACGTATAGATGGAAGCTGGACTGGGCTCCTTTTGCTTAATGACAGAGCCAAGACTAGACCTTGGCCTGGGGCTGGAAGGGCTTTGGAGGACCCCGCAGGCCCGCCTTCTCGAACCAGCACTATCCCTGAGGCACACGCAGATGTCTCTCTTAGGTGTGTGTGAGAGGATCCAGGAGTCCTTTAGATAGTTGTGGCCAGTCTTCCTGGTGTGTTAATCTCGGACCAGAACCACTATTTTAACACGAAGGAGTAAAATAGGAAATGCCGTGCATCTTAACAAGCTTCGTACTTGCTTCATTCCCAGACCCTCCCTTTTCTCCGGGGACTCTGAGACCAGAAGGCCGTGTGGACGAGATTAGGACAAAAAAGCTGGCCTCTTAATTACTTTTCAAATACTTATTATTTAGGGATTACTGTATGCCAGACAATGTCATAAGCACCTTACACATGTTAACTCATTTGCTCCTCACTACGTCCTATTGTACCTTTCACCTTCTAGGTGAGGGGCATGAAGAACAGAGGTATAAGGAATTTCCCCTGAGTCACGGACCTAGGCAGGTTCAGGCCAGATTTGAACCAGGAGAAGTCTGCTCCGGAGTCTGTGCTAGTTCTCGCCTCACTGGGGCCTCTAAAAGCTCAGAAAGCAGAAGTAGGGCTGGAGAAAGGAGGCAGATGGAGTTTGGCTATGTGCGCAGGATTGTGATCTAGCATCAGCAGTGCCTCCACTTTCTTTAGCCTTTTATCAAAATATTAAGCACATCCTCACTGTCAGACATTGGAATGAAATGTGGTAAATCCAGCCAATACCCCCAGACCTTGCACATGTCTTCATTGGGGGAGGGGGTCATGTTTTCAGGCTTCGTCTGTTCAGAGGGGCAGGGAGAGTGCCCTGGGCCCTGAGGGTCCTGGGGAAGGGCCTGCTGGAGGGAGCTCTGCTGGGAGTGAGGAGGGTGAACTAGAGGCCCAGAGACCCGCCACTGGGAATGATCTGCTTGGGATGGATGGGGCCTGCAGAAACCCCATCTGCAGGGTGTGTGCCCTGGGGCTGAGCGGGCCTCCCCCGTCCATCCATACACGCGGCCTATCTGAAAGGCAGGACATCTCAGCTCCAACCCAGCTCTGACTCTTACTTGATCCATGACTTCAGGCAAGTCTCATCCCTTCTCTGATCCTCAGTTTTCCCACCTGTAAAAGGAGGGTGGGACTAGCCATTTTCTCAGTGCCCTCAGCTCCAGGTCAGCGCCCCTCTGCCCCCTCCCATCCTCACTGCCGTCTCTGGGCAACTTCAGGCAGTGACAGAGCAGTGTTTGGAGATAAAGAAAGACGTGCTGAGTAAACGAAGAGCCTCAGAGTCCTGACTCCCAAATTTGTATCCTGAGCCAGCCTGGGAGGCTCCGTGTCACCGGGTAGAATGCCCCAAGTCCCTTTCCTTGGCCATATAAGGAGAAAGGAGAGCAGAGACTCACTGACACAGGTTACAGGCACAAGCTGAGGAGAAGGCTGCAGCCTCTGAAGACCTCGGGGACTAACCAAGAATGAGAGATAAATGAAATGCCACTCACCACCTCCTTTCGGTCACACTCCCCAGAAGCCTAGGGGCTGGGGCACCTGGTGAGAGGCAGTCGCCATGCCCAGACCTCCTAGGACGCACTGTGAGAGGCACGGATGGCCTCCCCAAGACCGGCCTCCTCCCCTCCCGCCTCCTCTCCTGCCAGACCCCATTCAGTCTGTAGACTGCAGGCATTTGGGAGCACTTCCCCACAAGTCCCCTCATCTAGGAGATCATAATACCCCTCTGGTCTCCCAGGCCCCGGTGCCCTCTCCCTGCTCCCATCCAGCAGGAAACCATGTTCCCAGAGCACAACTTTAGTGTACAGGGCAGTCCTCAACCCACCTTCCCTCAACCCCGGTTCAGAGCCCCTTGGACTCCCAACTCCCTTTCTGGCCTTCCTCTGGGGGTACCATTAGTCATGCTTGGATGGGCTTCTTGGCTTTCCCTTCTCCTTCTCTTTGTTTGTGTGGTTCCCTGCACCTGAGATGCCATGGCCTCCACTTCACCTTCTGAGATACTGTCCACCCTACAGGTTTATCTCAGACTCCACCTCCTCCAAGAAGCCCAGCCTGTTCCTGACCGAGACTGCTCACTCCAATGGACCATAGGGCCCACTGTCTGTGGCTTGCTGGAGCACCTCATCTGATGGTTATTTCTGCACTTGGGTGTCTTCCTATGCAGTGAAGAATCCCTGGAGGGCAGAGCAGAGCCTCATTCACACATAGTGCGCAGCACGCCTCTGAGGTGCAGCTGGCACTCACCAAGCGCTGAGATGAACCATAAAGGGGGCTTCCAGGATGCGGGAGTAGATGGTGATGATGCTTTGGCCTCGCACCAAAGGAAAAGGACAGCTGAGAAAAGCCAAGCGAGGTCCACATGAAACTACAGTAGGGTTCAAGAGCCCAGACAGGCACAACTCACGGACTTTGGAGTCACACAAATCTGGGTTCGAATCTTGCTTCTGCCACTTACTTACTGTATGACCTTGGGCAGGTCACATAGCCTGCATGGGCCTCAGTTTCCTCATCTACAATACCAGGATGGGTGTAATACCCACTCCCAGTCTGTGTGAGCACTAAATGATATAACAGATTCATGGTACCTCTCAGGAAATTAACTCAGAATAATGTGTGAACTCCCTAGATCACCTCTGGAGTAATTGCAGAAGTTAACGACCACATAGTTCAATCTATCATCTCAGAAGTGGAAATTCTTTTAGCCCCAGTTACAAGTGAGGTGCTGAGGCTCAGGGAAGTGATCATTGCACCAGGTGGTCAGCCAGGGTGAGGGTGAAGGTCAGCACTGGCTCCAAGTCTGAGCTCTTGGGCTTTAGCAGTGAGAAGGAAGGTGGGCAGCTCATTCCCTGACAGCTGCCACCAGTGACCTGAGGCAAGCGTTCTGCCCCAGTGTCAGGTTTCAGCTGGCCCTGGGTAGACCCTGACTCCCTGCAAGGCCAGGCTTGAAGTCACATGACCAGCTGATCCCAGGGCCTAGCCCAGGGCTGCTGCCAAGCCTGCCCTATGCCTTTGTTCCATCTGCTGTGCCCCTCCTGCCTCCAATAATGCAGGGTCAGCAATGCCAAAGGAGGGCCATAAAAGGTGGGGGTGAGGGTGAGGAGGAGCTGGGAATGGGCGATGCAGCAACAAGACCACTGGCATTTGAGAGATGCAAGAAGCCCAATGCAGCAAATTCACGTGGCAGGGCCACTGCAGGCTCATGTAGCCTTTTCAGATGAATTAGAAAAAAGTACCCTCTCAGGGGAACAAAGCCCCACACCAGTTGTTGGAGAGTGGAACGAGGGTTGGACTTCGACACCTGCCACCTCGTGTGCAGTGAACAACATACACAACCACCCAGGGCAGCCCTGTCTACCAATCTCCACTGTGGGGCCAAGTTCTGAGCTCGGCTCTGAGATATGGAGATGACTCAGACGCAGCATCAGCTTCTCAGAATCTCACAGGGAAGCCAGGGTCCTAGGAGAACACAGGGAAAAACCACCTAACTTGCTCTGGGAGGCCAATTTCCATAGTGTAAATATTCCCACTAGGGGCAATTTCAAGGTTCCAATGTGCCATCACTGAAGGGGAGATAGGAAGAGATGTGCAGTCAGCTCCTACAAGCTGGTTCCAGCTGGCTCCTAGAACAGCACTGGGAGAGGGAGAGGCCTCAATCCAGAGGAAGAGGAGGAGTTCTCCAGGCAGAGAAGTGGTAGGGGGAGGGGAGGACATTCCAGCAGGAGAGAAAACCAAGAGCAAAGACAGAGAGGTATGAAAGTAAGTAGGGAGCAAACTGTGAAGAGCTTTGAAGGGGTTCTGATTGACAAGGGACCACAGAAGTCTTCTGGAAGCTGGTGATGTTTTAGTTCTTGACCTAGACAGGGGTTTCAAGCCCAGTATTATTTGTTAAACTGTACATTTAAGTTAAACTGTACATTTTATGCACTTTTCTGTATGTTTATAATATTTTACAATAAAGATAAATATCTCATTCAGGAATAACCTCTAGTTATAATTGTTATATTTCTTTCCCATCTTTTTACTTTGCATACATTTATATGACCATTCAGCAAAAATTTTCATGTAGGAAAAGCGTTCCCTATCCATACACCATTAAGAAGAAAGCATTTTAACATTGAAAATAATGTGGTGTAATGGAAGGATGTAGGTTTTGGAGTCAGAGAGTCCTGGATCTAAATCCTACCACCTAAAGTGCGAACTTGGTGGCCCTGAGAAAGTTGCTTGTCTTAGCCTCTCTGAGCAGTTTTCTCTTCCGCAAAGTGGGAGAGATAATACCCACATCCTGCAGAGAGGTTGGGAAAATCAGAGTTGGTGTGTCAGGTGCATGGCACAGAGCCTAGCCCACAATGGACCCTCAATACATGTAACATACAAGATACCTTATATGCAAGGTATGGTTATTAGCATAGTTTTAAAAGGTCAGAACTGAAAGAATTGCCCTGAAAATAAATGACTGAATCACAGAAGTCATAGAGAAACAATAGCCCCATAAGGATAAAGACAAATTAGGATTTTCCCAGAGAATAACCTAGATGGTAAGGAGACTCAAACATCCATTGTGTGTGTATGTGGTGGTGGTGATTGAAGAAAATGGAACATTTAGCCTGGTGAGGAAGATTCCAATGGTTTATAAGATCTGTATAACAGATGTGCCCTGTATGTAGAACAGAACAGAATTAAGCCCAACAAACAGGACTTAAAGAGCTAATTTCTAATGGATATCGGAAAGGATAGTCTCACTAATAATAGAAGGGTAAGCAGTGAGCTCCCCATCACTAGGGGTACACAAGCAAAAGCTGCAAGAACACTTGGTGGGAATGAAAAAGGAAGGTGAGCATGGTCCCTTGAGGCTGGGCTCTGGAGCTTTTCTAATCAGCAGCATCTACTTCATCCAGCAGCATACAGGAAAGTGCAGAACAGTGAGTGTCCTATGGCAAAGGACACGAGGAGACCCTTGCTCGTCTTACCTGGTTATCAATTTTCAGTTCCACCAGCGAAGTGTTGTATGGAAGAGCTTCCACCAGGCGCAGGATCCCAGCTCCGGAAATGAAGTTGGATTCCACATTCAGTGTCTTCAGCGCCGTGTTCTCCTTAAGCATCTCAGCAAGGGCCTTGAGCCACAGGAGGAAAGCAAGTGTCCTCATGAGTCACCCTGAGTGGAGCCTCTCTTGGGTAGAACCTAATCCACTGAGGGAACCTTGCTGGGAGCAAGAGTCCCTTGTTCACTTATGCTATTCGAGCTAGGGACCAGGCAAGATGATCTGCACACTTCCTTCACCAAGCACAGCTCTATATCTCTCCTCCTCTCCAACCTGCCATGCCTCTGGACTATTCCCCCAAAGCCTCTGCTGGATGCAGGTCCCACTCTCTTCTTCAGCCTCAACTCTCGCTGCTCCCTGATGGTGGGGCTACTCTCAGTTCCCCATGCACGCCCAGTGCTCTCCCAGTGCTTAGCCTCTGCTTATTCCTGCCACCTGGAATGTCCTTTCCTTTCTGCTTCACTCATCCAAACCCTGTCCTTCCTTCAAGGCCATTCTCAGTGCCCCTTTCTCTGAGCGCCTTTGCTGACACCCCCAGCTAGCTTGGCCTGTCTTCTTGAACCTCATAGAATTTATCCATGACCTCCTTCATGGAACTTGTATTCCCTGGTTTAGGTTGGTTTTATATTGATGGGGTCTCTGCCATTAGCCTGTCTCCCCTGGGTGGGCTGAAAGCCACCTTATCATCCCATGGACCCTGCAGTGCTCAGCACATTAGTAGGTCCTCAGTCACTGTCCACTGAGTGACTGGTGGGGTCCCAACCTCCCCAAATATTCTCACTTGTCTCTTCTATTTCCCTGTTGGGATTCCATGAAGTCATTGTTCTCTTGGTCTGAGCAGAACTGAGCAGAGAGGGAAGCCTGGGAAGCCACCCCACTGGGCAAGTGACCAGGACAAATGGGAGGAGAGGAGCTCAGGTGGCCCCCAGCACGTTTGGGAGGAATACGGCCAGGGGTGTAGATGACAATCAGAGCCTCTGGAGGAAATGAAGTAATTAGCAGTTGGTGGAAACCGTGTGTCATGGAGGAAAGGAGACTCCAGCAGCTGATAGGCCAGGACGTACAATCTGTGGGCCCGGCTGTGTGAAATGCTGATCGGAGCCACGAAGGCCCTTTCCACCATCCCCTGCTTGTTGAAACCCCACACAAGGCTCACCTCCCAGTAAGCCTTCCTTATTGAAATCATCATTCCCTCCTCAGCTCGCCCTGCTGTATACCCCCAGGAAGACATGTCAGCTTTCTCTGTGACCCCGAGTAGGCTGGACCCTCCTAAGGGGAGGGACCCAGTCTATATTCTCTGCATAGCATCCCTTTTGCTCCCCAGGAAAGGCCTGCCTGGGCCTGATAATCAAGATATTTAACAACCACTAGGCAAGTCCAGCAGGCTGATCCAAGCGGACATGCTGGTGGCTGAGCAGGTCCCAGAGGCACTGTCATGCCAGGAGTCAACTCTGTTTGCTGCACCAGAGTGAAGGAATTGGGGGTAGAGGGTGCGCAGCANCTGTCATGCCAGGTGTCAACTCTGTTTGCTGCACCAGAGTGAAGGAATTGGGGGTAGAGGGTGCACAGCAGCAGAGCTGGGGCAGGCAGTGGGGCACATACAGAGCTCTGGCAGTCTGATTTACTGGCCGGCCCAGAGCACCTCAGTATGCGGCAGTGGGTATGCTGGTGTGGACGGGCTGACATCAGCGGCTGGCCTGGCACAGAGTTGATGTGCCATCAACATTTGTGTGGAATGTTTAAAAAGAAAAAAGAATGGATGGCTACTTTATGATAAGTTCAACTTAATTTGAACAGCAATATTTTTAAGACATGAATGAAAAACAGCTAAACTTGGTCATCAGGACCTGCTGATAAAGATGATGATTTTAGAGATGGAGAAACCGAGGCCCAGTATGGGGCTGGCCCTTGTCACACCTCACATGCTGAATGCAGAGAGACCCAGCTGTAGGGTCCACGTGACTTGCATTTAAATCTCAGCTCTACCTCCTACTCACTCTGCAACTTTGGACAAAGCAGGTTTCCTGAGCTCCCTGCTAAGTGGTGAGACCTGCACTTCTGGGATCAGGGGGAGTTGTGGAGATTAATTAGGATACTGTACAGGTGGTGCCTGGGTAACAACCATTCTGCCCACACCCTCTCTTGGCTCTAGCCCAGTGCCTCTCACCACACCACCCAAGGTTCTTCATCGGTGGGATATGGCCAGTCCTCAGGCCATAAGCATCAACCCTTCTATTTATGTGCCACCCACCCTCCATGCAGCAGAACAGAAAGGTACATACGTATGCCACGGGGTCATTGCTCCGTGTCCCCACGATGCTGAACTTCTTCACATACGAGTTGCCTTTCAGGGCCTCTGCATACGCCTTGAGGGTAGGTACAGGGATATTCTGCAGAGAGAAAGGCGGGCAGTGACCAATAGCCCCTGCCAGGAGCAGGTTGGGCAGACTGATGGGGGGTAACTCTCTCACACATGCACCCTGATTTGTGGCAAGTCTCTGACCAAAAACCTAAAGGGGCAAAGGATTCCAGCTCTGCTCCAAATGGCTGGGATTTGGAGAGAACTTTCTGGTAAACAGATTGAGAAAATCCTCCCTGAAAAGTTCAGATAGGACTCACCACTCCCTCTGTGTGCAAACAGAGGCCAGAGGAGAAGGGAATCAAGGCGATGGATGCAGAAGAGTGTTAGGCCAAGAACTCGGGCCCGGGCTGTGGGGGTGGGTGGGGGCTTGACCTCTGCCCCAGCAACGGGCAATGTTTCTGATTTGCTCTGGGACTCTGGGGAGGTCTCTCCCCGTCTCTGGGCCTGATTCTGGAAGACAGAGGTGTGCATGTGGGGGAGCGGGGGTTGCCCTAGATGATCTTTAAGAGACATCTGTCCCAGACGGTCTCAACCCTGCCGCACATCAGAAGTTCCTGGAGAACTCTTACAAAATGCTGATGCTCAGGCCTGCTCCAGAGCAATAAAATCAGAATCTCAGGAGAAGGTAGGTCTGGGCATTGGCATTATAGTTTTTAATTTCCTCTAGTGAAAAACACTGATCTAGCCCAACTGCCTACTGTGCAGAGGGGAGACTGAGTCCCGGAGAGGGTGAGCCCTGGCTGAGACCCACGATGCAGGCACAGAGCCGGGTCCCGCACCCCTATGCCCTCCAAGCTGGCATTCACTGCCAGGCTGTGCAGTTCTGAACTGTGCCAGTGTCTACCTCTAGGCACATGGTAGGCAATGGAGGCCCCAGAGAGAGGCCCCGGGCTGTGTTTTAATGGATCTCTCATTTCAGAGTGTCACTTTAGCTCCCCGTGGGAACAGAGCCTGGGAGGCCAGGTGGAGAAGGACACTTCAGACGCAGGTTTCCCATCTGATTGTGCCGTGGGGCTGGCAGTCACTTAAAAGAAAGTGGAGAAGAAAGGAAAGAGGAGCCGGGGATTGAGGGGCCTGCTTCTTGCCTTACTGCCACCCCCTCCCGGCACTAATCCCATTGGCCTCCGGGCTGAGCAGGTGGGCAGGCAGCTGGCTGCTTCTGAACTCCTCCCGCAGCCTGCTCGGCGTAGGACGGCCTGTCCGTCTGTCCCTCCCGTGCCCTTGGTGGTCACACGGGAAATGTCCGGAGAGAGATGGCCGGCAGCTTGGAATAGGCCTTCGGTATCTGGGCCGACAGCCCCGTCCCAGCTGCGGGATGAGGCTGAGCATGTGCGTGACGCGGAGGCAGCAGCGGAGGCTCGGGGTGGCGGCTCCCCGGGCCGCGCCACCCCTCGAGCCTGGGGGCCGGGCTTTCCCAGCCTCAGGTCCCGCGCAGCCAGGTGTGCGTCTCACGCTTTGATCTCAGAGAAGCTCTGGGGTTTGAACGACACGGTGCGCTCCCCAAGTTGAAGCCGGGTTGGCCCCAGATGACCATCTGGGCCTGACGTCAGCCCCCCAAAAGGAACCGGGCCACAGGACACACTTGTGAACACTGCCCGCCCCCCGGAGAGGTTCTGCCCCTTCCTGACCCAGGAGCCCCTGCAGCCCAGACGGGCGCGCCCTCGGTGCTGCTGAGCCTGCTGCCCGCTCAGCGCCCGCACACGGCCTCCCCCGGCTGAGGGGGGCCAGGCCTTACCCGGATGTTGTTGAGGTTCACCTCTTCAAGTTTCGGGTCGTTGCTCTTTATCCGCTCCAGCGTTTCCTCCACGTCTGTCGAGTTGGGTTCTTCGTCGGGCACAGGCTTGTATTGTGTCGGTTTAATGACACCTAGAGTGGCCCACGAAAGGGGGTGTCTCACAGAAACACGGAGGCCACTTTCCCTCACACAGGCACCCTCGGGAAGGAAGCGACCCGAGGGAGCTCAGGGACCCGTGGAGGGGGTGTGGGCCCTGCCTGGATTCTGTCCTTGACGTCCTGCAAGAACTAGGTGACTTCCTTAAACTCTCTGAACCCCGGTGTCCTCATCTGGTAGCCTGGGACCAGGGGCTCTTGTGAGGATGAAAGGAAGCCCGGGCGGGAAAGAAATATTCAACCCATCTAGAGGGGGGCGCTAGTGATTCTGTTGGCACCCCCCTTTCTCTCTGGGACCAAACGCCAGCTTGGAACAACGTGCCTGAGCAGAGACAATGCAATATTGGCACAGGAAAGACGGGAGACTCGTGGAGCAGGAGGGTTGCCCGGAGACAGACCCGCGCGGATGCGTGAAGTTCATGAGCAAGGTGGAGTCCCGAACCAGTGGTGGAAAGACACGCTTTGCAAAGAGTGGTGTTGGGACGATTCGATATCCATTAAGAAATGAAAATTTGATCTCATCTCACACCACACAAAACACAAACTCCAGGTGGATTAAGAAGTTGTAAATAAGAAGTAAACCTTTTACAACTTTAGAAGAAAATATAGGAGGGTATTTTACAATACTGGGATGGAGACGGCCTTTGTAAACAAGACACGAATCCCAGAGGAGTGAAGGGAAAAGCTGCATAGATTTGGCTACATAAAAATGTAAAAGTCCTGCCAGGAGCCAGGGAGCATG